CCAAGTTGGAAGCCCCCTGAAGCATAAGCTGTATTGGCATCACAGTAACCCACCTCTACCCACCCCGCTGTCCTGGGCACCAGGTTCAGCCGCCAGGTGCCAGGTGGGCAGGCAGAGGGCAGTAGCTCCCGCTGCAGGGCCCTGTGGCTGGGACACCCGCCCACCCCGCGCTCCCTCACTCAGTAGGTCTGCGGCCTTCCGGCCGCCCAGGCAGAGCACAGGCCTGGCGAATGAGCCCCTAGCGCAGAGCTCCAAAGGCTGCCCGGCATCCCCGGTGCCCGCCGGACACCCCCACGGTCTCCTCCGCCCGGCCTGGACCCATGGAAATGCTCGCCGCGTCTTCCCGCACAGACGCCCACGTGCCGCCAGGCAGGCGCCCTGCCCCTGTGTTTGAAATGAGTGATCGGGGGCACGCGAGGGGGTCAGCACCTTCGGGGACAGACTGAACGCAGACAAGCTTTCATTCACAGCACCCCACCCGCGCAGAGAACGGGACCGAGTCCCTGGGGTCACCGACCTGTGCCCATTCTCTTTGGGACGTCGCACACGCGCCCCTGGGCCCGTGTCAGGGGTGAGGCGCTGACAGTGCTTCTGGGCCACGCGAGATTCTCATTTTCTTCCCTGCCTTGCTTAGAAAGGAGCGCTGGCTGGGGGAATGGCGAATGCGTTTTCTTCCTTTATTGCCTTTTTTGCATCATTTATTTACTTATTTAAATCCTCACTCAAGGATATCTTCCCCATTGCTTTTCAGAGAGACATCAGTGTGAGAGAGAGACGTCGACTGGTCGCCTCCCGCACGGCCCCGACGGGGGTCGAGCTTACAACCCAGGTCCCTGCCCTCGGCCGGAATTGAACCGGGGCCCCTTCAGCCGCTCTAACCACTTGGACAACCGGCCAGGGCTTCAAGCGGGATCCACCCTGCCGTGTGCTGGAGCGGGAGACGCTAACGGGCCAGTGGTTCCAGGGCCGCCTGCTGGATTCACCTCTTCAACCTGGAGGAACCGCAGGCTCCGGCTGTGGGTGTTTCTGCGGATTCCTGCTCCGAGCCCACTTGGCTTTGCCGCGCCCCATGCTGCCTGAAGGGGGCAGAGGGGCGCCGCGCCCTCTCTCGGGGAGCTTACCAATGGCAGACTTGGGCCAACAGGGGGCACCTCTCCTTACTCTCGTTTCCCCTACAAACCACACGGGTCAGTCTCGCCCACCATGCTCCCAAGTGGACTTTGGAGTCGCTTTATCCAGTTCCTTCGAAGTTGTATTGGACTTTTTTTTTTTAACATTTTTATTAATTTCAGAGAGAGGAAGCGAGAGGGAGAGAAACATCAATGATGAGAGAGCGTCATTGATCGCCTGCCTCCCGCATGCCCCCCACTGGGGATGGAGCCCGAAACCCCAGCATCCAACCCTTACCTCCCGGTTCACGGGTCGATGCTCAGCCTCTGAGCCATGCCGCCGGGCACACTGGACTTGTTAATGGAACTGCATTAAAATTCATTAATTCCTGAAGAACTAGCCTCTGCGCACTAATCCAGCTTTGGGAAGGTC